GGCCCCGCCCCCCGGCAGTGCCGCCGCCAGCGGCCTGTGGTAAACAGGGGTGAGCGGCGCATGCGCCCTGTGTGGGGCGTCGGGCAGCGGGACGTGCCGCCTTCAACGACAAATAAATAAGAGGTGAACGGGTAAAGAGCGGTGCGCTGCGGGGCCTGCGGCGTTCCGAAGTCAGAACAGGCAAGCAAATGCTTCAGAAAACAAAAGCAGAGGGCAAAGAAAAAGACAAAAAGGCCCCAGCTAGCACCTATTTTTTTTTCCTCCCAAGGGAGGAAATTCCCTTCTGAAAGGCACCTCTTAAAGCAAATGCAACTTGCTGTTTATTTGCCCTGCTTGGCCATGAACTTGTGGATTGTCCCAAGAAATAAAATACTCCCCTTTTTCCCCCTAAACACAAATAGCCGAGGTTCTGTTTTCCTAAGCCCTTGCTGTCATTTTTCACTACATAGGCCATGAAGAGGCTTCTAGAGGAAATTTCAAGTCTCAGGCATAAATTTAAATAAACACAGTCAGAAAAAAAAGTTGGTAGTTGTGCTCCGGCACTAAGCTTTTATGTGAAGGACACTTGATACCTGAGGGTAAAGGCAGCCTCATTTTAGACTCCAAACAACAACTAGGACAGGGCAGGTAGGTCCTTGAGGATGAGAGGTCTCAAAATCCACCTGTTGTCCCTCCTTGGGGCACTGTGAGGAGGGGGGAGAGCGGGCATGGGAGAGAGGCCGTTCCCAAGTCTCCTGAAGACACAGTTAGCAGGGAATCATACTCATTTTTAAGAGGAAAAGACAAAATAATGGACTGTGTAGAAATTTAATCCAATTACCTGTACACCATGTACTGCCAGAGCGTTGTCAAGCCAGAATTTGGGATTTCCTGGAGGACTGATGTCAAAAACAGCCAGATTCAGAGCTGCAGAGGAGACCACCAGGTACCACGCGTGCTCTCATCAGCACATCACGGCACAGCAACAGCACCCCAGGCAGCGGTGCCATTCCAGCCTGATGGGAAGGAATTAACTGGCAGTTGCTGCTTGTAGTATTAGGAGCCAACGCTCTGCTGCATGTGCTCACGTTTGAGCTTGTACAGCTTGCGGTTTGTAGCTGTTTGCACATGACCACCACCGGTGAGCCCAGAGCGCTCAGCGGAACAACACCTGTGGAAATAAACCCAGCCGATGCCCAGCCTGCTGCCCTTTTCTCTAGATCATTGCCTGAAGGACTCCCAAACCATACAGTTTACAATATTTTAAAATAATAATCCCGATATTTTTGTTCTTGCATAATAATGCTCACATATACAATACATATCTTGCACTTTTCACCTTCCTATTTTTCATTTCACACGGCAATGTTTGTGATTGACAAGTAAAATATACCCTACCTCAAAAGCACTGTCATTCAAATGCAGTTTTAAAATGGGACTCATTTGGCTTACAGAAAAACAGAAAAAAAACATTAATCGGGCAATGAAAGTTCTT